AGCATACTGAGAAAGACACGCATCAGCTCCGTCTGAAAATGCCACCAAACTGCCACAACTTTTCTCTCTCTCTCTCTCTCCCTCTCTCACACACACAAAAAAAAAAAAAAAAAAAACCATCTACCATGCATATACACCCGTGCACGGAGACAGACATACCATCTCTCAACCACTATTCCGGGGGGGAATAGTGAGTGAGAGAAGATGTGTAAGTCGACAGGAGTTGAGGGATGCTGATAACGCCAACGTTCATGGGAATTTCTCTCCCATTTTCATTTATATCCATCCAGATTTCTCTCATTCCCAACGCCCATTGTAGTGGGACATCACAGCCAAGACGCGCAAGATTAACTTAGCATGGCCTCTGTGCAATTAAGGAACGAAAACAAAATCAAGAACTGGAAAAACTGGCGCCAACTATGACGGTACCGACGGACCATTATGGAAACGATGGAAGTGGGAATCCGGAAAAGGATCACAGTCCTGAACCCAGTGTCGACAGCAGATGATGCGAGCGAAGGAAATGGCAATAGGGATACAGATAGCCAAGATGCGCCCGTATTGAACGGATGTTTTTCTTAAAACAAATCAAGAAAGAGATTCCAAATGCCGAGTTTCGATTTTTCGACCCTTTTTTTCATTTTCAAATTTCAATGCAACTTCAAACTTTCATTACACAATTGGAATCGAGGTAGGCAAATATACTGGAATCATCATCATATTGGATCCTCACAAACAACCAGGTAGGCAAATATACTAGAAGCATCATCATCCAGCTTAGCATGGCTCGCGGCCACCTAAGGTTACCCTAGGGAGTTCTTGATAGCTTCACCAACATCTACCCTTAACTAACCTAGAGCTAACACTACCCCTAATCCAGTTATCCTACCCTACCCTGCCTAAACCCCTAATCCGGTTATCCTACCCTACACTGCCTAAATCACCGGCCCTAAATCGGGACAATGGATCGTCATATTCACACCGCCACCAAAGGTTACCCTAGGGAGAGAGGCGTTTAATGGAAGGCCCAAAATTCGGCGAATTTTAGCAAATTTTTCACCGAAACTGCCATATTTCTCCGAAGTTTTACTTTTTTCTCGTTTTTTTTTCTTCATCTGATATGTGTGTGCTTAAGGGTATATCTGTATTCAGTTTCGCCATATTTTGACAAGTTACGAAAATTTTGGCAAAAACACCAGACTCGAAGAAAGATTCAACGAACTCCGAAAGCTACCCTGAATAGGGTTTTATAGCGCTCTTGATTTTTTTTTTTTGATTTTTTTTTGGTTTATATATATTTTTTTATGTTTGTATTATGACCCTGCATAGTTTGTTTGCAAAAGTTTCGACAACATTGTTTGTAGTGATGCGGCGAAAAAACCCGAATTTTGGGCCTCCCATTAACCGCTAGTGCAGCTCTTGATAGCTTCACCCACATCTACCCTTAACTAACCTAGAGCTAACCCTACCCCTAATTCAGTTATCCTACCCTAACCTGACTAAATTAACTGCCCTAAATCGGAACAATGGATCTTCATTTTCACAAGGCCACCTAAGGTTACCCTAGGGAGCTCTTGATAGCTTCACCAACATCTACCCTGAATTAACCGAGAGCTAACACTACCCCCAAATCAGTCCTACCCTAGCCTGCCTAAATTACCGGACCTAAACCGAGACAATCACACGTAGCTTGATACAGATACCCGGCCACCTAACGTTACCCTCCTGCCTACTGATCATCCCCCTGGTACACCAGCGATCGGGATATAGACACCCAGATACGGATAGCAGAGATGCCCCTGTGTCGTCAACGGATTCATTTTCTAACAAAAAAAAAAAAAAGATTCCAAATGACCAGTTTTAATTCTTGGATCTTCCTTTTCACACACACGGAGAGGCTTCATTACCTTTCGTTTTCCCTTTTAATGTCTCCCCCTCACCGTTTGTCATGTTTCATTACAGTGAACGATTGTTGCCGCTAACGTGATGTTCATAACATGGCAAAAGAATACATAAACTCCTGTTATCCACTTCATCACCACAACCTAATGCCGATTGATGGGATGGCCATATACTTCGGCACACATAATCACTAAATAATTTATAGAAGATAAGAGCATCATCACTCGCTACCCTTCCAGTTCACATAGTCTGGACAGAACGGTGCTGAGACAGCTCATCCCAGTCCCTTCTCCACTGCCTACCTTATTCCTCACGTTCATCCTTCTCCCCATACTATCCTCATTCTCATCCTCCTTCACATCGACCTTTCGACCCCCTCCTCCTCCTCTGCACTGCTGTTTTATCTTCTCCCCTCCCTCATCGTCCTCATCGTCCTCCTCATCGTCCTCTTCCTTCTGCCAGCTCCTTCACATCGACCTTTCGCCGCCCTCCTCCTACTCTATACTGCTCTTTTTTCTTCTCTCCTCCCTCATCGTCCTCATCTTCCTCCTCATCCTCCTCTTCCTTCTGCCAGCTCCTTCCCGCCCATCTCCACTGCCCTACTTCCACCCTAACCCTCTTGCTTCTTCCTCATCCTCCTCATCGTCCTCATATTTCTCCTCATTCTCCTCTTCCTTCTCCCAGCTCGTTCCCACCCATCTCCACTGCCCTACTTCCACCCTCACCGTCTTCCCTCTCCCTCTTCCTCCTCATTCTTCCTCCTCATCCTCTTCTTCCTTCTGCCAGCTCGCTCCCGCCTTTCTCCACTGCCCAACTTCCACCCTCACCCTCTTCCTACTTCCTCCTCCTCCACATCTCCTTCTCCTTCTCCTCTTCGTCCTCCTCTTCCTGCACATCTCCTTCTCCTCTTTCTCTTCCTCCTCTTCGTTGTCCTCTTCACAGAACCATCGCCTTCTTCCACCATCTCTTTTCGAAACAACCGTCATCACCCGAATAGAACGCCTGTCATGATCGCTGTATCTAGGCTGAAAGTTGCCCCAAAAGCGGATGTAATGACCGGGCTTGCTACTCAGGTGAAGACGGTAGTCTTACTCGTCATTGCCCTCCCAAGCTGTCCTAATCCTCCTTTGCCTTTGTCATGCAACCAGGGACCCCAACTTGCGACTCGCATTCACATCTTCTCTCAACTCCTTCGCGTCCGTCCCTCATGCAACAGCACCTCCTTCTCCTCTTCCTCTCAGAACCACATCCATCCTCCTCCATAATGGCCATCACGATGTGAACTCTAGACGTATTTTTCAACAGCTACACGTGTGTACCATTACGCTAAAAGTCAAGTACGTCCATCGCTGATACGAAAAAATCTTTTTTTTTTAATATTACTTCTCAGTGTTCTCACCATTCTCGAAGATCCCAGTCCTCCCCTGCCTTTGACTGGCAACACCACCACCTCCTTATGCGTCTCTCCTCCTCCTCCCTTTTTCAATCCCTCAATGTGAGTTGTTACCCAACGTCCCCCTCCTCCACCTAAGCCGTTTTCTCTCTCCCGTCGTACCTATCATACTACTCACTAATTCATCCTCCTTCATCCCCATCCATGCCCACCTACTTATGCGCCTTTTCTCCTTCTCCCTCCGCCTTTCCCGACCCCTCAACCTGAGTTGTTTACCATCTTCCCCCTCCTCAAGCTAAGCCGTTTTCTCTCTCTTCGAACTCATCATACTCCTCACTAATCCATCCTCCATCCCCATCCATGCTCGTGTCAGGCCATACTCACACTTGCACATTCTGGGCAGAACCTGTCTCCAATTGCAGTCCGATGCATCCACAAAGTGCTCAAAATCAATCCGGAGTTCCACCGATAGCCTCGAAGAGTCGAGCCTAGACGGTCACAACAAGTGCTCTCTGAATGTATATTGTCACACTGTAATCAGATATACCCGTTGTCTGGCCCTGATGGTGGGGGCAGTGCTTGCATGCGGGACTTGTCATCCAGGATTGGTTTATGTTTGTTTCCCCCTGTTTTGTTGTATTTGGCTGTTCCCTTCCTCTTTTCTTTGCCTCTTTGCCTTTTGGCTGTGTGCAAGTGCGTCGATATGACACACGGGGGTGGGGGCAGCCGCCGCTCAACCTACACCCACGTGGGCGGCCTTGTACGCAAGAGAAAAAATTGATTTCATTTTTCTTGTTTCCTTATGTTTTTCTTCGCTTTTGCGCTCTGATATCTTGTGACAATATATATTGTCACATTGTGAATCAGAGCGCAAAAAAGGGAAAAGAAAAAAGGAAAAGGAAAAAAGGGAAAGGGAAGGAGGTAAGGAAAGCTCCACCTGTTCATAACCTCTTACGTACAAGGCCAGCCACGTGGATGACAGGTTGAGCGCTGGCTGCCCCCATCCCCGTGTGTCACAAGGACCCACTTGCACGCAGCCAAAAGGCAAAGAGGTAAAGAAGGGGAGGAGGAAACCAAACCTGACAGGGAAAGAAAGATAGGGAAAGAAAGATAATCCAATTATCACAAAGCAAATAACACATCCCACAGATTAACGTATCTTTTTTCTTTTTTTCTTTTTTTCTTTCTTTTTTTTTTTTTTCTTTTTTTCTCTTTTTTTCTCTTTTGTGACAATATATATATATATATATCGTCACAAACAGAACTGCCCGGTAAACCGTAGGCAGCGAGAGAAGAGAACAACAGACGAGGGGCTGTGACAAACTGTTTCGTCGGAGTTTCATATAT